GCGCAGCAGGGCATCAGTTTTTGTCGTGCTACAAAATGAAGAAAGCACGTGCGGCACTCCGGGACGGTAACAGTGGAGCACCCCCGAAGTAAAAAAACGGCAATCGCCAGTAGTCGCGGATCGACCTGGTGATCACATAAAGATCCGAAAAGCAGGAAAAGGCGACGACGTGGCGACTTCGGAGCGGGTGAAAAAAGGAGAAAATGATGGCGCGAATATAAAACGTCACGACCCGCCGGCTTCAGGGGAAATCGCCGAGGCGAATGGTGGCTCCGCGAAAAAAGACTCTGCACCGACCGGGAAACTCCAGCCGAACACCCACGAAAGTAAGAATTCGTTAAAAGTATCCTATAAAGATACTCTAACGAAAAATATTGCTTCTCGTGGTTTTCAAGCCTTTGAAAAATTCAGGGGAGAATTAGAGGCCAAGAAAAAGCCTTTAGAAATTATTCAGGTACCTGAGAAGTTGGGCAAAGTATTACGGAGCGTAGAAAAGGGTCGTGCGTTCCGTGGTGTTAATATTCTCTCCCCGCAGCATAGTGTTAAGGCTCCCCGTTGCCCACAGGTGAAGCCTACACAGCTGCAAAGGCTTAGAGGAGACATCCAGGCTCAGGAGAAATTATACAAGCCTTGGAAGAATCCTCCTACCCCCCAGGTGAAGTTGGAAAGTGCTGAGTCGGGTATAGAAACTAGGTAATGTATTCATTTTGATGTACCCTATGATCCTATTAATGAGACCCTCTTTGGCTACTCAGCGCAGCAGAAACCACTACTCTGCGAGGTGTTATGCAATGGGCGACGCCTCCAGGCACTGGTGGACAGCGGTGCATCTCACTCGGTGTGTGACTGCGGAGCATTGGAGAAAATAGGAAAGAAGGCGGAGGAGACCCAGTTTTCAGCAACCATGGTGGACGGCACGAAGCTTCCCATCCATGGCGAAGCATACTTGCAGCTGCATATAGGTGCATTGAGATGGAAGCCGAAGCTACCCATCACCAACATCAAAGGGTTAGATTTCATCTTGGGGCGAGATTTTCTGAAGCGGTTCAACCCCGAGATCGATTGGGTCAACAGCAAGGTGTGCATCTACAACAACGGGAAGCGGATAGCACTACGAAGCTGGACGGATACAGGGGACATTCCTGAAACGACACTGGCACGGTTCGAACAGACGGTGAACGAGAGTAACACGGGTTACCTAGCACTGGTCATGGCAGCAGCAGAAGAGGTGAAACCGGGTTCCGAGCTACCCGCAGCAGTGAAAAAGGTCTTGGAGCAGTACAAAGACATCATGCCCGACGACCTACCTGCAGGCGTACCTCGTGCACGTACCCACAAGCACGAGATCGTGGAGGAACCAGGTGCGAAACCCGTCTCACGTGCACCTTACAGACTAAGTCCGACCGAACTGACAGACATGAAAAAACAGATTGAGTACCTCCTAGACAGACAACTGATCCGACCATCCACCTCTCCCTACGGCGCACCAGTTCTCTTCACACCAAAACCAGACGGCAGTTTACGGATGTGCATCGACTACCGCGCACTGAACAAACAGACAGTCAAAAACAAATATCCCATACCGCGCATCGACGACTTACTGGACCAACTGCATGGTGCAACAGTCTTCTCGAAGCTGGACTTACGGTCGGGTTACTGGCAGATCAAGATGGCGAACAACTCGATCCACAAGACGGTGTTCCGTACGAGATACGGCTCCTACGAATACTTGGTGATGTCGTTCGGACTCTGCAACGCACCAGCGACCTTCCAAGCGGAGATGAACCACATTCTACGGCCCCTGCTGGACGAGTGCGTAGTAGTGTACCTGGACGATATCCTTATCTACTCCAAGAACATGAAGGAGCACGTGGAGCATCTGCGGAAGGTGTTCGAGATCCTGCGGAAAAATAAGTTCTACGTGAAGCTGTCAAAAAGCGACTTCGCACTAGAGAAGATGCAGTTTCTCGGGCACATGGTGAGTGCCAAGGGCGTACACGTGGACCCGCGGAAAATCGAAGCCGTTAAAAAGTGGAAAGTTCCGGAGAACGTGAAGGAGTTGCAGCAGTTCCTTGGCAACGCCAACTACTACAACAGGTTAACCGACCTACTGAAAAAGGACACGCCCTTCAAATGGGGTACTCCTCATCAGCAAGCCATGGAACAGCTACAGATAGCACTAACCATAGCGCCAGTCCTCATCCTACCGGATCCCGAGAATGACTACTTCGTTGAAGCAGACGCTAGTGACCAGGCAGTCGGAGCAGTACTGATGCAGGATCACGGGAACGGTTTACAGCCTATCGCCTACCTCAGTAAGAAACTGCACGGAGCAGAACTGAACTACCCCATCCACGACAAGGAAGCCTTAGCCATAGTCGTAGCCTTCAAGGCGTGGAGGTGTTACTTAGAAGGAGCCAGGACCACCGTATACACTGACCACTGCAGTCTTAAGTACCTGAAGTCGCAGCCGACGCTCTCACGACGACAGGTGCGGTGGGTGGATTTCTTGGAGACTCACTTCCACTACGACATCGTCTACAAACCCGGGCTCCACAACAAGGCTGATGCATTGAGCCGCCCAGGTCATGTAGCAGGCATCCAGCTCGACGGGATGAACCCTCTGCTCAAGGGTCTATTCCAACATGGGTACTCCGTGGACGGCGAAATAGCATCGGCAGAGAAGCAGAAACTGTTACAGTGGGAGAAAGACTTAGCGGTAAGGAAGGGTTCAGGAAAAATTTGGGTACCGAATTACGCCCCGCTACGGCAAATCCTATTGGAGGAGTTTCACGACGTACCATACGCGGGACATTTCGAGAGCAACAAGACGTTAGCGGGAATAGCAAAGTATTACTACTGGCCTCGGATGGCAGCAGACGTGCAGCAGTTCGTCACCTCATGCGACACGTGCCAGCGGATGAAGAGTAGCAAGCAGAAAAAAGCAGGGTTACTTCAGCCTCTACCCGTACCGGAGCAGCCATGGCAGGTCGTTAGTCTCGACTTCATCACAGGACTTCCCTCGACCTCACGGGGACACGATTCCATCCTCGTAGTCATCGACAAGTTCTCCAAAATGGGTCACTTCATACCGACCAATGCCACAGCTACAGCTGAAGCAACTGCTCGACTCTTCTTCGACCGCATCATCACCATCCACGGCATCCCTGCTACACTAATCTTAGACAGAGACCCAAAATTAATGAGTATGTTCTTGAAGGAGCTTATGGGACTGTTGGGGACTAAGCTTGCGATGTCTTCAGCATACCATCCCCAGACTGACGGACAGACCGAGCGACTCAATCAGGTGGTTGAACAGTTACTGCGCACAGCTTGCAAAGACGATGTCAGCCACTGGGACACACAGTTACCGACCTTGGAGTTCGCTTACAACAACGCCTCACATGCGGCCACAGGGAAAACACCTTTCTTCCTGTGTTACGGACGGGAACCACTCACACCACAGCAGCCAACCACACCAGCACACGTCCAAGCCGCGCACGACTTCGTCACCACCATGCAGCAGCTATGGGAGAAGACTCAGCGGCGTCTCACCACGATGCAGAACTCCCAGAAGCAGTATGCCGATCGTCAGCGACGAGATCACTCAGTAGCAGTCGGAGATCAGGTGCTTCTCGACACGCGCAACTTGAACCTGTCTCACCTCCCATCCAAACTCCGGCCTCGCTTCTGTGGTCCATTTCTCGTGGAGGCACAGGTGACACCAGTTACATTCCGCTTGCGCTTACCAGATACGTGGAAGCTTCACAACGCTTTCCATGTTCAGCTACTGAAACCCTACAAGGACCCCAACCAACAGTTCCAGGGACGGCAGCTACCGCCACCACCACCTGTTCTTGTGCAGGACGAACCAGAGTACGAGTCGAGCGCGTTCTCACTCATCGGCGCCGCGGCGGCAAGACCCTCGAGTTCCTGATACGCTGGAAGGGATATGACCCCACTGAGGACAGTTGGGTTGCAGAAGTTGATATGGGCAACGCACGCCGTGCTCTCAAGGACTATCTTGTCAAGCAGGGTGTATCTCACGCCACCCAGCTTTGAGGGGGGGACGTGTGAGAGTACGACGGCTTATGCTTGTTATTCATGCTTGCTTTTATTCCCTTACGCTATTTCTAGCTTAGGATTATTTTCTGCATGCATGAATTGCTTGATTCCTAGGCTAGGTGCTTTCCTATATTTTATTATAGTTATAAGCACCGTGCTAGGTTACACCGAAATGCCTTCTACCGAATTCGGGAAGGGTCTGTTCGGGACGCTTCGCGACCCGCAGAACCTTCGCGTAACACCTGGTTACTGCCCCTTGTGTCGAGCCTATATATAGCCTCGTGTTGTACCCAGGTGATCATTCAATTTACATTCTCTTTTCTGAACTCGATCCTCGATCCTCACAAGGCGGACAAAAAGATTCAACACTATGCAAACAGACCTGAGACAGTTGGCTTCTTTCCGTTGGTGGTGGAGACCTATGGCTGCCCTTGTGCAGAGGTTTAGGGTTTCGCACCTATGGCTAAGAACTAAGGCTATGTCCTTAGCTGTTGTCCCTAGTCCTGTTGTCTGGTCCTTCCCCTCTCCTCGTTGTGTTTTGGCTTGATTTTGCATTTGTGTACCTCTTATGCTATATCAATGCACGGACCATTAGAGAGAGAGAGAGAGAGATGGCATAGCCTTAGTCCTTAGCCATTTCTAGGCCTCTCTCCCCTAGGCCCTAGTCCTTAGCCATTTCTAGGCCTGCTCCCCTAGTATAAAGGCCTTGGACCTAGGCTAGTGAGCTCATTATTCACTGGTGAGTTAGGTTCACTCTCCAAATCCGGCCGCTTGCGCCGGCCGCCGAAGGCGGTCGACGCTCGACAGCGCGGCCTTCGGCCGCGCGTGAGGGGTGGCAAGGGGAGAAGCAACACAACATTCACCAGCATTCAATACATAATGGGCCACTAGCAAGACTAAGCAAGAACAACACCCCCTGGCGAGGGAATTCCGCCATGGCAAAGCCCAAGGCAAGGCCCAGCACTACAGGAGCCTGCAAGGGAAAAACACCAGTCACTCGGCAAGGATCCAGCACAGCCTCCCGTCCATCCAACGCAGGACGGAAGCTGCAGCTGGCACAAGGCCGAGGGGGCCCTCCCGGGCGGACTCAGCTAGCCTCAACATTGCCCAGGGTCCGGGCCCGAGCGCTGCACCAGGGGCGCTCGGCACGAGGCCGATCAAGGGAAGATAGTGCAGCATCTCCGTCGCCGCTGCCACCGCCGCAGACCGTTCCGCGGGCAACATCCCGCCAACCTCCAAGCCTTGACGTGCCAAACACACGTGGAGCTGGTCCTGTACGTACGACAGCAGCGTCAAGCACGTCCCCACGTGCACAACGCGCTGCTCGACGAAGGGAGGCAGCGCGCCTACAGGAGCAGCGGCAGGAGGAGCAGGCGGGACAGGAGGGATTGGCGGCACAGGAGGAGCCGGCGGCTGATGCAGTTGAGGCTGGGGTAGAGGAAACTGGTTCACGGGGGGATGCCGCTGCTGCGGGGCCAGGTTTGACGCGGCGGGGGGAGCCTGTTGTTGCTGCAGAGGCTGACTCGACGGGGGTGGAGCGGGAGATGCAATTGCCTACTGCTGTGATTGCAACCGCCTCTGGCGACGACTCATTCGCGCCCGCTGCGGCGCAGACTGCGGTGCCGACGGCGCCACCGGCGGACGGGGTTCTGGCTGCGGAGGAGGAGGCACGTGTGAAGCGGGGGTTGGCTGATTCACCGACGCCGTTGATGGCGGTGTCCCCGTCAACTCTCGGGGAGTTGGAGATTGCTGCAGACGTAGCTGGGGCAGCGAGGCAACAAGAACAACCCCCGAACGAACCGTCTGCACCGACTGCCGCTGAGATCGCTGAAATGCCTGCTGCTGCCACGGCCGTAAACACGCAGGAGCATGGCCAGGCGGTGGATGGAATTGAGGGTCCCGTGAACAGCGCCGCTTCCGGCGCTGCACCGGCGAGGAGGAAGGTGAAGCTGCGCGTCCAGTCAGCACCGAGGCGGCCCGGAGCAGGGCTGCGACCTGGGGTCCCGGGACCCCTCCTGGGCTGGCTTAGGCAAGGGCAGTCGCCACCGGGGAATTGTGTGGGGCAGGCCGACGGGGGCAAGACGAGCGATAATGGCGACCCCCTGGGTGCCGGCTAGTCGGGGTTTAAGGTCTGCGCAGGACAGCGCGAGGGGCGGCGGCGCTGGCGTACCCTCCGCAATTCCCCGCGGAGGCAGAGGGGGAAGGGGAGGAACACGCGGAGGGGGAGCTCCACTCCTGGGAGGAGAGGCTGCAATCGCGAGATCAGGCACGTGGCGTGATCGCCACGACCATCCAGAGCGTATACCTACGCCTGTGAATGAGGGCGAGGAAGGTTCTGAAAACTCCCAGAGTGGGAGCGATTTTATCCCTTCGCACTCAGAGGCATCGGAGGTGGAGGTCTTCCTAGGCGATGAAGAGAACCAGCATGTGTCGGCGCAAAGGCGAATGAGGAGGGCGGAGCAGGGTGGTATGCCGCAACCACCCAACATGCCAGCAGGACAGGCCCCAGCTATGCCACCACAGCCATCCGAGAAATCGCCCGCTGACTTGGCAAAAGATGAGTCTATCTGGCACCTGGCTAGCACTTGGGACATCGCACCACTCCAGTGTGTGGATCAACCGTTCCTGGTGAGGCGATTGCCCCCGAAAATTCTGGAGAGCTACAGAAAAACCCGACTGTGTGGGGGCGTGGACCGTGCTGCAGTTCTTACCCCGCTTGACCCTTCGACCTCTACCAGAGCCGGTGGACGGGAACCGCTGGATCAAGATTGAGACTCGGCTGCACCACTTCAGGATCGAAATCTTGCCGATCTCTACAGGGAGGCATGCGTGATCCCGATACTGGAGCCCCGATACGACACCAGCCAGACGAGGCAGGCCTGTGTGCGCCAGCAGAGGGCTTGATAAAGAAGGCCAATATTTCCAAGGTTGTGTCTGCGTTACAAGTGACCCCGCTGGCGGAACCAACACCTGGTACACTTGCTGCCTTACAGGCGAAACACCCTGTCGGGGAATTACCAATTCCGAGCTGGGTAACCAACCGCACCGGTGTACCTGCCTCGTCATTGAATTTGACCCCAGGCGATGTCCGCGAAGTGCTTGCGAAGTGCCCGAATGGAGTTGGAGCGGGCCCCTCTGGCATTTGTTTCGAGCATTTGAAGGACCCGGCCCACAGCAGCGAGCAAATCCTATTGCTCCTCACGAAAGTCATCGGCCAGCTACTCAACAGCGCACAAACAAGAGAGATACGTGACATACTCCTTCCGTCACGGCTGATAGCACTTGAGAAGCCAGGGGGGGGCGTAAGACCCATCGCTATAGGTGAGGCCCTGCTTAGAGTGGCGACGAAGGCGGCGTTTCGCGAGTTAGCCCTAGCGATCCGCGAATTCTTTCTCCCCGTCCAGTATGGCGTGTCAGTGCCTGGTGGGGCCGAATGCGTCATTCACACCGTACGGGCCCTGCTCCGAGAACATGACAACTACGTCGCACTCCAGCTGGACGTATAAAACACGTTTAATTCGGTTGGCGTTCTTCACGGCGCTAGAGATCTCGGACTTGCACCAGCTGCTGCCATTTGTAAGACTGTTGTACGACTCGCCATCACGTCTTCTAGTTGACCCGGCCCTAGGAGTCGAGCACATCATGAGCTCCCGCGGCGTGCGTCAGGGCGATCCCCTCGGCCCTCTCCTTTTTGCAGCGGCAATTCAACCGACCCTGACGTGCGTGGCATCTTCTCACCCAGTGGCGGCTATCACAGCGTAAGCTGACGACATTACAGTGGTGGGGCCATGGGAGGAGGCGTGCAAGGCCTTCGACGCCATCGGCAAAGAGCTGAAGCGCGGGCTACGGTGCAACGTGGCAAAGTCATCGGCATGGGGACCGCGAGAGGGATACGAGGGGCAGCTGTGACCGCCACAGGGATTGCGGATGAGCACGGGGATCAGGGTGCTTGGCAGCCCCATCGGCACGCCGGAGTACTGCACTACGGAGATCCGACAGGCGCTCACCAAAGCATCGACGCCTGTCCCTCTTATCGCGCAGCTGCACCCACAACACGCCCTGCTACTCCTCTCCCGCAGCATCTCCCGCAGGATCTCCTACCTGCTCCGCACCACACCAAGCAGCACATTGGACCGGGAGGAGTGGACAAGGTGGAGCGAGTCATTGGTAGGGGCGGCGCTTACTGCTGCCAAGCTACGGATCCCTGCCAGTGAGCTGGAATAGAGCATCTTGTGGCGACAAGCAACTCTGCCCGTGCGCCTTGGGGGGCTGAGCATCATTGATCCCTTCTCTGAGGCACTGGCGGCGTATATTGCATCCCTGACAGCAGCGCATCACCTGCTACAGAAGATGAACTTGCGGGAGCAGGAGCTGTTAGCGCGGGCCGAGACCCTGCTGTCCAGAGAATGGGTCCCCCCGCCCTCAGCGGCAAACTTCCTGGTGACACTAGAGGAGGGGCTGCCGACAGAGGCACGGACAGCACTACAGACCTACCGGGAAGGCCCTCAGGGGCAGGGTAACCTGCAGCTCCTCTTGTCCAAGCACATCAACGCGGTACGGACCAGGGAGCTGCTACTTGACACTATGGTCGACAAACCGGGGGAAGACCAGGAGCAAGGGGTCCGGCTGGTCAGTTGAGGGGAGTGGGAGCCGGGGATTGGCTACACGCGGTGCCAACGAGATCTGACCTTACATTTGCCCCTGGTCAGTTCTCGTTGGCACTCAGGTTCCGCCTTGGGATGGCCCTACCAGTCACGGTTAAGTGTCCCTGCAAACGCGACAACTCGGACATCAAGGATACTAGTCTGGCAAATCACCTGCTCCGGTGTGGGGAGGGGGGGGATGTGGTGAGGACGCATAACGCTCTGGTCTACACGGCTTTGAGATTGGCGAGGGAGGCGGGCTTCAACACCTTCCACGAGACGTCGGTGTTTTCCTCCCCGGTCCACCGCAAGAGGGCAGACCTGGCGTTCCAGGATAGGGAATCAGCGGAGACCTCGGTCACGGATGTAACAATGACAGACCCAGTGCTGCAGAAGCGGGACTCCAGGGTGGAAGCCACCAGGGTGGGCTGCCAGGGAAGCTTCCGAGAAGAAACATCACCTGTATGACGGCCGCCCTGACTACGTGGGGTGTTTCGGCCTGGCAGCTGAGGCCTACGGGGCGCTGGCGACAGATACTGTGCAGTTTCTTAGGCTGCTAGCTGTAGCCATAGTGAGGAAGAATTTTTAGGCAGGGGCCGCTCACTACCACTGCCTCTCGCCTCAATGCACACTACCGCCAACGCTGGTCGGTCATGCTGCAGCGATCCCATGCTTCAGCAAGAAACACCAAATTATCGACGTAGGCAAGAATGTAAAGCCTGTGCGAGGAAGTGCGAATGAAGAGACTGGGGTCGGAAGAGGAGGTGGAGAAGCCAAGAGAGTGAAGAGTGGAGGCGAGCTTAGCATGCCACTTACGTGGGGTCTGCTTAAGATCATACGCTGCGTTTCAGCTCCCAAACAGTGATTGGAGGAAAGGGGTGAGGAAAGCCAGTGGGCGCTAAAGGAAAATGCGTTAATTAAACTCGCCCTAGAGAAAGGCATTGCAGACATCCATGGATTAAATCTCCCAATCCCCGATGACATCTAGATTAAGGAGGCAAAGAGTAGGGAGACGTGCAGTGGAGGAGTAAGTGACAAAGTAGTGAATGCCTTCACCTTGGGTGAAGCTTTTGCCGCGGTAACGAGCTTTGAACACAAGGACCTCTTCAGGCAACTTTTTACACAAAAGACCCATTTTTGCTTGACAATCGTGGTGCCAGGAGGGGGGCAGAGTCAACGCAAGACTGCTTCATGATAAAGCCTCACACTCGGCAGTGGTGATAGCCATCCACTCAGTGGCATGAAATGTCAACGGGAGTAGTGTTTGGCCCCGTCCTCGCTTGGGCGGAGCCGACCGCGGGACCGCGGGAGAACCGCGGGAGAACCGCGGAACCGCGGGAGGACCGCGGGACCGCGGGACCGTGGGAGAACCGCGGGAGAACCGCGGAACCGCAGGAGAACCGCGGGAGGACCGCGGGACCGCGGAACCGCGAGAGAACCGCGGGAGGACCGCGGGACCACGGGACGGCGGGAGAACCGCGGGGCCAAGGGAGGCCGTGGGGCAACCACGGGACCACAGGGACCACGGTGGCCGCGGGTGGACGACCCGGGGGCCATGGGGGCCGCGGGATACCCGGTCGACCGGGACACCCGGGCGTCGTGGGTGCAGGTCGCCGGGGGTGGTTTCTGCGAGGACGACCTCGGGGGTGGTATCCCGAGGTCGACGTGGCTGGTGGGCGCCGTCACTAGTGGAGTGTCTGCGCTGGGCATGTGACGGGGAGTTGGGCGCCAACCAGCTGCACGCACCTGCGAAGCAGGTGCACCGTTGTCCCGCGGATGCAACGCTGTGCAGCCGACTTACTGCAGCGTTGGCACACCGCGGACTTATAATGTTGGCAAGCCGCGACTCTGCGCTGCTGGAGCGCGGTCGACCAAGTCATGCTGGCACGCGGTCGACCGTGCTGCGCTGGCAGTCGACCAGCAGCCTTGCTAGGTCTGATATAGTCTTTGTTGCCAATGTTGATTCAATCATTCTGAACTTTTGTTCTCATGTTTTCCTAGTGAAACTCTTGCCGTTTTTCCCCGTGAACTAGCAAGCAGTGTTAGCACTTGGAAACGACTAAGGAACGAACGAACGCTACGATCACTCTTGCCCCGTGCCTAGCCCGTAGTCTAGCTCCCGTTGTACGAGTTATCTCCGCATGGTGCGGTGAGCGTGGATGATACCGCGGTGTAAATTAGCCTAGACGACTTTGCACTTCCCTATCGTGTTCGTATACCGGCGGCTGTGTCAAACATTATACTTGTTGTATTTGTGTAGGCTGTAGTGGGTTAGCCTATAGGGGGGTCACAACATTAGGGTTTCATATTTGTACTCACAATCCTTGCTAGTTCATCATTCCAGTCTGTTATTACTGACATGGTTTCAGAGCAGGTCCTTCGCTAGGACCGTTCTTAGGGCCCACCGTTACCTACATACCTACCTACCTACCGTGCGCCTCGTGCGCCTACGCGCCCTCGTGCGCCTCCTACCT